TGATAATGGTTTTACTAAAATCCCCTTTTGATGGAAAAAAATCCCAGCTGGACGCTTTAGGCCCCAGCACAATGTACAAGTCTGCAGGTCCCTCTCCCTACCCCACAAAGGCCTCTAATCAAGTGGAAAATGTGCTGGAGGCCAGAGGTTTGGGGCTGCAATTATTTCTGAAGGGATTACTAGAGAAGAATAGGGGTCAGCAAGGACCTCCCCACTGGCCCTTTGTTCCCCATTTGGTCTTGCGTTTAGACATATCGAGCCTCTACTGGCCGTCCAGTTCTCCAGCCACGAGAGCCTTCCTCGCTCCCTTCCCTGGCGGAAGGTTGTCAGCTTGGAACTCCATGCTGCTCACAGATGGAGAGGGCTCGGAAACAATATGCGGGTCCTATTCTGAGCCCAGCTAAGCCCAGGTTTCTAAAACCATCACGGCACAGAATCCTATGTGTGGGGAGAGCACTCATTCATTAACCTCTAACCCCGCTCTGTTCGCAGAGGGAAGGGGTCTCCCTGCATCCACACACTGTGAAAATTGGGGGCTTTCACTAGAGCTTCCCAGGCTGTAGAGGGCAAGAGGTCATGTTCCCAACCTGGCCAGATATCCTCCTTATTTATACACGGTGACCCTTCCCTTCAGCCCTGAGCAAACATCCATGAACCTACTAGTTGCTTACTCAGGGTGTGAAGGGTGGAAAAAATATACATCATAAACCACTTTTGTTCATCCATTTAGAATTTTTGTTTTAAAAGGTACACTGGTAGAGAGGTTTGTCTTCTCGGTATAGGAGACATTTGCGCATGAATGGGCAGTCGGGGTCCCTTGGTCAAGATGAGCACTGCAGGTCAGCCCTGAGGGGTCTCATGCTGAACGCAGCGACTGCTCACCCTTCTAATCCTAGCTGCCTAGTGATAGATGCAAATACCCAGTTATAAGGAAATGACTGCAGATTCCTAAACTCATCCTGGAACAACCAAGGATTAGGCTGTGCAGCTCTAGAAGTTAAAAGTCGGCATATATTTCAAACTAAGTACCAGGCTAAGTAATCATTTTTAACTACAAAAAAAACAAGCATGATCTGTTTTCATCAGTGTAGATGTCTTATTGATAG